TACCTCATAGTTCTAGAAAGTTGAAGTCTGAAATGAGTCCATTGGTAAGGCCCTCCCTCTGATTGCTACTCTAGGGAGACTACTTCTTTACACCTTCAGCTTCTGGTGTTTGTTTGCGATCTTCAGCAGTCCTGGATTTTAACGACGTCTCTCAGTTGCATGGTATCTTGTGTCCTCCTCTGGCATACCTTGTTTTAGTTTGGGTTTGTCGGTGAAGACCCTGTTCCCAGTTAAGTTCTCAGTCTGTAGTGATGATGGTCAGTAGTTGACCATATCTGGGGAGACACAGCACGGCGTTTCAACCCGTAACAGCTGAAAACTAGAAGGACATACGAGTTGGTGGTAATCACTAGGTGGAAATACTTGGATGCATCTATTTATTGGTTTAGTGTTTGTTTTGGTGTTTTGTTTTTGTTTTGTTTTATTGAGACAGGGTTTTCCAATTCCCCCACCCCATTCTAGCCCAGACTGGCCTTTTATATTCATGATCCTCTTGCCTCAGACTCCTGACTGCTGTGATTATAGGGATGCACCACAATGCAAGGTAGAATTTATTTCTTGCTTTTTTTTTTTTTTTTTTTTTTTTTGAGACAGGGGGGTCTCTGTGTAACTTTGGCTGTCCTGGAACTCTATGTAGACCAAGCTGACTTCAAACTCACAGAGATCCCCCTTGCCTCTGCCTCCCAAGTGCTGGGATTAAAGATGGTGTACCACAACACCCAGTCAAGTTTATTTTTAAATAAATTATTTATCTACCTTTTAGTCCTGTAGTTGCTTATAATCTAAAACCACCACACCTTTAGATGTAGAAGTATTTCATTCTAGAACCAGGTGGGTGGGACTTGAAAAGAATATCCACTTCAAGCAGAAGTAGTCTAGAATCCCTCATTAGTGCCAATATACAGGGTCTTATGTTTTAGGGAGTGGTACCTTTGGTAAGATAGTAACTTAATAGACTAGCAGTAAACATGAGCATGTGTTGTTAGCTCTAAATCTTCGCTGCCAGATCTCTTTCTTCATTACATATATATAGTGAATAATGTCGGCCTAAACTTAGAGTTTAAACATTTCATCAGTGTTCTGTGAATAAGCTTGAGCCAGACAGAACAGTATACTTTTCACTGATGTGACAAAAATTAATTTTAGGCTCTAAGCAGAATAAACTCTTGGAGAAAAGAAAAAGGAACTCTGTGGACTCAGATCTGAAAAGCACAAAAGAATCTATCATACCAAAAGCAAAAGAGTCCTTCCTAGAGAAGCGTCCAGACACATCACATCAGAGAGAAAAGTTTATAAGACACATTGCACTGAAGACACCAGGTGGCGTTCTGCGCTTGGAAGATATAGCCAAGGAACCTGATGATGAAAGAGATCGTTCTTCTGCAGACTTGGCACCTTCAAATTCTGGCCACCATTCTTCCAGGAATAGTGACCAAGTCCACGCAGCAAGTACCAAAGAGACTAAAACACAGAAGCCCCACTTCCCTTTACCTCAGGAAAAATCTGCAATTAAAAGAGCTAGCAACCTTCAGAAAAGTAAACCGGCTGGCTCTGTGACATCAAAGGAGACAAAACTACCTTTACTTTCCCATGTTCCAAGTGCTGTTTCCTCTCGAGTACCATTAAATGCTAAAAATTGCACTCTTCCAGTTCCTAAAAAAGATAAAGAGCGTTCCTCCTCTAAAGAACGTTCTGGGCATTCTGCAGAATCCTCCAAACACAAGGAACACAAAGCAAAGACTATGAAGGCTGTTTCTAATGAATCTTCAGGGAAAAGTTCTGGGGGATCTTTGCATTCAGAGTACAGCCCTCCTACAGAGTCTCCCCCAGCTGCCTTGGAAGTTGTGCCGCGTGTCCCGAGCCCTGCAGCACCTTCAGATAAAGAGAGTTCAGGAAATTCCAATGCAGGTAGCAGTGCACTGAAAAGGAAATTCAGGGGTGATTTTGATAGTGATGAAGAAAGTTTAGGTTACAACTTAGAGAGTGATGAGGAAGAGGAAACATTAAAATCACTGGAAGAGATAATGGCTATGAACTTCAACCAGACTCCTACAGCTTCAGGAAAGCCTCCTGCCTTTTCCAAGGGGCTTAGATCCCAGTCATCAGACTACATAGTAAGTAGTTCTGTGGTAATTTGTCTTCACTTGATGGGGAAAAGATGGATTAATTAAAGAAGATAGATTGTTGACTTACTTTAAAATTCAGTGTTTACTACTACATCTCATCATTAGACTGACATGGGTGTGAATTTCTCTTTTGGTAAATGAGTTCCCCATATCTTCAATTTTATTATTGTAAATCAGTGGTCTCCAAAATTTTTTGATCACATGTACTTTTTTTATTGAAAGGAAACTTTTAAGCATGTTCCCCAATATATATGTACCTCATAGATTCTATATATGTACCACTATAATACTGTGTACTTTTGAAATAAAGTATATACAAAAGCAGAATTTAGAAGAAAAAAGAAAAATTAAGTATTTTCCTGTGGCAGTTACGTAGACGTTACTGTAGATTAAGTTCTACTGGAGTTTCTATAGAAGTTCCATATAAATAGAAGTTCTATTATTTTCTTCCTGCACCCCAATGGATCACCTTGCACACCCCCTGCTTTGGAGACCACTGCTGTAAATGAAGGTAGAGTGTAGAAATGTTGTTAATTGTGGTGTGCAATTTTATTTATAAAGTGCTTCATTCTATCTTGGGAGTAAACTGTATTAATTTTAAGGTTTCTGTAAAGTTTGGTGGGGAAGGTATAGTAATCCATGATAACACCTAAAACTTAGTGGTAGTTTGATTTCACTGAAGTAGAATGCAGAAGAAAATATAGGGATGCCACAGAGCCCTTGGGTGTTGCATTCAGATCCTGAGGTTAGCAGGGTGTTACAGGCAGTGTCCCTCCTAATGGATGTTGGAATCCAATTGCCTGCAGTATAGAATACTAGATTTAAAGCATGATGGTGAAATTTTTCCTTTAAGAAGGGTATCATCCAGACCCAGGATACTGACAGAAAATAGTCATTAGTACTCTGAATAACTTAATATCCCAGTTCTTCTACTAAGATGAGTTATAAAGTATTTTTTAAACTTTCTTTTTGTTTTAGGAATATGCTCAGAGTGGAACTTATACAAATACTTTAGAGCGTCTTGTAAAGGAGATGGAAGACACACAAAGGTTGGTTAAAATCTGTTAAATTTAACAAACTGCTTTGCCTATGTGGTTGGCTTTTAATTTAACTTAGAATGATAAATTAGTATATATGGGGCTGAGGATTTAGCTCAGGTAAAAGGATTGCCAAGCAATTGCAAAGCCCTGACTTTAGTCTCCAGCACCATAAATCCCAAGGGAACTAAAAATTAACATGCGTTTTGTAGGAGTACCATTATTACAGTTCTCTTGTCAACTGTTGTAGAAATAAGATGTACTCTCTTATTAGTGAGATATCAAAAGATATAGGTTTTACAGTATACTTTGTATTGCATTATTATAAATTCCTTTTTGCTTGTTATAACAGTATCTTAACTGATATCCTTGATGAAAAGCATGGATAGAACTTATTTTTATTGTGTGCACAGTTCATGCATGAGAGTGCTAGTGCGTGTTTGCTGTAGCATGCATGTGAAGCTCTGAGGACAGCCTTGGTGTCAGTCCCCACCTTCCATCGTGTTGACGCAGTCTCCTCAGTGCTGTGTATGCCGGGCCACCTGACCCATGAGCTTCAGGGAGTCTCCTGGCTCTACCTCCTGTCTCCCTGTAGGAGCACTGGGATTACAGACACTTATGCTATGCATCCATTGCCCTTTTTTTTGAGATAAGAGTCTCACTATGTAGCCATGGCTGGCCTCAAATTCACAGACTTCTGCCTGCTGGCTTCTGGGTTTAAAAGTGTGCACTACCACACCTGGCATACACATCCAGCTTTTATGTGGGTTTTGAGAATTGAAACTTGGGTCCTGAGGCTTGTGCAGTGAGGGCTTTTCTCCGAGCCATCACCACAGCCCTAGATTTTATTTTGAACAGTTCAGTTTAGGTTAGTACACTAACATCCATGTAGCCATCATCACCACCACCTAGCTCCAGAACATTCTTCATCTTCTCAAACGAAACTCCACACCAGTTACCATTGTGCTCTTCCTCCCTGCCTTAGACAAACCACCATTTTAATTTTTCTTCCCGTTTCTATGAAGCTGACTACTCTGGATATGTCAAGTGAGATCATTTAGTAGTTTATTTGTTAGATCAGAGGGATTATACGTAGCATAATGTCTTGTTTGTAGTGAAGATTGTGGAGAATTTCCTTTTTAAAGGTTGACTATTCTGTCTTACATACATGCCGCATTTTGTTTATTTATCCATTAATGGCCACTTGGGCAGGGCCCACTTACTGACTATTCTGGGGAAAAAATGCTATGAAGATGTGTGTACATATATCTTTAGTCCCCCTTTCGGGTATTTTGGATATATGCCTACACACACAGCCTTAGTGAGTCATGAGGTGATTGTTGGTTTGGGAGAACCACCACACTGTCTCCTGCAGCAGCTACAGCATTTTCCATAACTACCAGCAATGAAGGAGGATTTCTTTTCTCCACATCTTCTCCAGCACTTGATATTTTCTCTCTCACACTTTTTTTTTCCTTTTTATAATAGCCATCTTAAAGGGCATGGAATGGTTCTCATCATGATTTTGATTGGCATCTTAAGTATATTTTTGTGTAGTATTAGGCTTTTTCATAATTATGTCTGTTCAGAGCCTTTGCCTGTTTGTTTGTTTTTGAGACAGGGTTTCTTTGTGAAACAGTCCAGGCTGTCCTGGAACTCGCTCAGTAGACCAAGCTGGCCTCAAACTCACAGAGATCTGCCTGCCTCTACCTCCAGAGTGCTGGGATTAAAGGCGTGCGCCACCACCACCCAGCTGCCTTTGCCTGCTTTTAATCAATGAGTTTTTATTATTGGCACAAAGATAGGGCCTTTTCTTAGAATATTTTTATGTTTGTACATGCTTCAGCAGCACATAGACTAAAATTGTAACACTACAGAGAAGATTAGCATGGTTCCTGTGCAAGGATAACATGCAGATTTATGAAACTTTCCATATTTTCTTTAAATTAGTAACATTTAACCCTGAGAAAACTCAGTTTTCGTGTAATATGGATATAAACTACTCTGAGTAAGGAACCATTGTTATTTATTCTTTGTTATAAATAAATCTATTCTGCTTAGGGAAATAAGCATTTTATTTATATTTTTGGGTTTTTTGTTTTGTTTTCATGAGACAGAGTTTCTCTATAGCTCTGGCTGTCCTGGAACTCACTCTGTAGACCAGGCTGGTCTCAAACTCACAGAGATCCCCTGCCTCTGCCTCCTGAGTGCTGGGATTAATGGTGTGTGCCACCACCACGTGGCAAAAATATTTTAAAAAACCAAAAAAATTTTTCAAATTTACCAATTTCAAGCAGTTTTGTTACTGTTTTCTTGGGCTGGAGGAAGGGTTATTTGCTTAGTTAGGCGTGATCTCCCTATGTTGCCACGGCTCCTCCCAAAGTTCAGATTCTTCTGCCTTTAGTGTCCCCAAATTCTGGGATTACAGGTGTGTATCACCATGCCCAATATCAAATACAAGTTTTGAAACCAAGATGAACATACATGTATTCCTGTATCATGTTACTCTGTGGAAGAATAGTTCAAAATGATGATAAGCAGCCCATTTTATACATGTCTGAAAATTTAGGGTCATAATGAAATGTATGAGACTCACTAAAAATAGTGGCAGTTGTTGTAATTCGGGAACTTGGGATACTGAGGCAGGAAGAGTGCCTTAAGTTCAGTGTCTATCTCAGTAAATAAAGGGCGTGGGAGATGGTTCAGTGGGTAAAAGCACTTGCTGCCGAGCTTGACATCCAGAGTTCAGTCGCTAAGACTCAGATGGAGAAAGGAGGGAACTGACTCTTGAGTTATCCTCCGACCTACACACACACCTAGTATGCATGAACACACACACATACAAATCAATGTAATTTTGTTTGTTTGGTTTTGGTTTTTTGAGATAGGGTCTCACTATGTAGCTCTGGCTATCCTGGAACTCACTATGTACATCAGACTGGCCTCAAACTCACAAAGATCTGCCTGCCTTAGCCTCCTGAATGCTGGGATTAAACAGTGGGCCTGGAGCCATGGCTCACTGGCTAAGAACACTTGCTGCTCTTCCAAAGGGTCTGATTTTGTTTCCCAAAACCTATGTCTGGTAGTTCACAACCACCTCCGGGAGCTCCAACACCCTCTTCTGGCCTCCGTGGAAACACACATACATATATGTGGCACACACATATAAATTAAACTTTAAGTTAAAAAATTATGTTACTGGTTACAGACTTATTACTAATGAGAACAGCATGCCTTATTTATTCAAAGACTACCCATGAAACTAGCCCAGATAACTTCATTTAAAGTTTAGCTGGCTGGAGTAGGTAAGATGTCAGTGGCTTCAAACTCACAGAGATCCAAGTGCTGGGATTTAAGGGCAAGTGCCACCACTCCCAGTTTCAAAATAAATTTTAAGTTACTTTAAAAGTAAGTTTACCTGACTGGATTGTGTAAAAGTTAGTATATACTGGCCGGGCAGTGGTGGCGCACTCCTTTAATCCCAGCACTTGGGAGGCAGAGCCAGGCGGATCTCTGAGTTCGAGGCCAGCCTGGTCTCCAAAGCGAGTTCCAGGAAAGGCGCAAAGCTACACAGAGAAACCCTGTCTCGAAAAACCAAAAAAAAAAAAAAAAAGTTAGTATATACAAATCTCAAACTTGTTAAACATATAACTAACTTTTCAGACATTTACGTTAAAAGTTTTTCCCTCTGAGTTTAGTTAGAGAAGTTGTTTTAAATTAAGCATTGCTACATGTGGTGATACGCACCAGTAATCTCAACACATAAGTGGAGACAGGAAGATCTCAAGTGTGAGGCCAGCCTAGGATACATCACAAAACACACACACACACACACACACACACACGCACGCACGCACGCACGCACGCACATAGGCAAGCAAATGGTAGTAGGAATAATAACTTTCTCAGACCAAAGATGGAAGTAACATTTGGTGTAATGATTGACCCTTCAGTAGTAATAGAACAATGAGATTATTGATGGCTTATTTTCCTCTAGTCTCACCAAGAGTTCGTGGTTGGGTGTGCCATAGTAAGTGCTCAGTATTAGGTGTGATGATGATGATGATAATAATTGGATGACCATGATGAAAACAAAAACCTAATATTATCAGGATGTTGGTCTACAAGATATCAATGAGTATTAAACATTAGAGAAGATAATCAAATTTGATCATTATTTACTGTTTTTCTTTTTCTATTCTCTGGTTTGGACAGATCATTCTTAAATTTCTAGCTGTAAAGAAATATTCAAGGGGTTAGAAAGATGGCCCAGTGACTAAGAGTACTAGTACTGGTTGCTCTTCCAGAGGACCCAGGTTTGATTCCCAGCACCTACATGTGACTTCATTGCCAGGAGATCCAACCCCTCTTCTGGCCTCTGGACACTGCATGCACATGGTTCACAGACATGCATGTAGGCAAAACACATACCCATAAAATCGATTTTTTTTTTTTTAAGTAGTGTAATGTATTGTGGAGATATGATTTACCCTGTATTCTAACAGAATTTCTTTAAAATAGAGTATATAGTAAGAGTTTTGCTTGGGGCTGCTTTTATATAACAGCTGAAGTTTCTGGGTTTCATTTGTTTGTGGGGGGGATTATTTGTTGTTTGGTTGGTTGGTTGGTTTTTCAAGACAGGGTTTTTGTTTTGTTTTGTTTTGGTTTGGTTTTTTTTTTTTTGTGTGTGTGTGTGTGTGTGTGTAGCCTTGGCTGTCCTGGAACTAGCTCTGTAGAAAAGGCTCCTGGCTCTAGTTGTCTGTTTTTTAAATAAATCGTAAGCCTAGCCTGGTGTGCATGCTTTTATTCCCAACACTCGGGAGGCAGAGGCAGTTGGATCTCTGTTGAATTTGAGACCAGGCTGATCTATATAGAGAGTTCTAAGACTACATGGAGAGAACCAGGCTCAAAAATAAATAAATGTAAATCATTTATTAGGACATTCTTTCAATTTTCAGGCTAGATGAACTACAGAAGCAGTTACAGGAAGACATAAGACAAGGCCGAGGCATTAAATCTCCTATCAGAATTGGTGACCAGGACAGTACAGATGATGAGGATGGCCTCTTGGAAGAACACAGGTAGTGTCTTTTTACACCATCTATAAGCTTCTAGTACTATTTACCATTTTTCATTTGATTTTTATAAAACAGCTGGGCCACTGAGGACTGGCTGCCAAATGACTGAGATACACTTGGGTTTTGTTGAAAGGCAAACATTAAAACCAAGGTATGCAGGGTAGTGGTGGCACAAGCCTTAGATCCCAGCACTGAGGAGGCAGAGGCAGGCAGATCTCTGAGTTCTAAGTTAGAGGCCAGCCTGGTCTACAAATCGAGTTTCAGGACAGCCAATCATACACAGAGAAACCCTGTCTTGAAAAGCAAAAAAAAACAAGGTACATGATAAGTCTTCACACTCAGAGACTCAGTGGTTTTCACTACAAGCTTTAAGGAAGGCAAAACATTGTTTTCAAGACAGGGTTTCTCTGTGTTGCCTTGACTGTCCTGGAATTTGATTTGTAGGCCAGGCTGGTCTTGAACTCACCAAGATTCACCTGTCTGCCTCTGCTTCCCGAATACTGGGGTCATAGGCCTACGTCACCCCTCCTGGATGACTGCCCTTGTCTTTTAAGTACAAAACCATGTGTATCCTAATTCTTTGTTATTCAATGGTCTTTGTGTTTCAGGGAATTTCTAAAGAAATTTTCAGTTACAATTGATGCTATTCCTGATCATCATCCAGGTGAAGAAATATTTAATTTCCTCAATTCTGGAAAAATTTTCAATCAGTATACCTTAGATTTAAGAGACTCTGGTTTTATCGGAGAAAGTGCTGTGGAAAAGCTTATTCTCAAGTAAGTAAATCTTAAACATGGGTTTTTTTCTGTATAAAAAAAATTGTTCTAAGGGCTGGAGAGATGGCTTATTGGTTAATTACACTTACTGTGGGGTGGATTCAGTACGTCTTTAATCCCAGCACTCAGGAGGCAGGTGGATTTCTGAGTTTGAAGTAGCAATGAAAGTAACTTTATGGTTGGGGTCACCATAACATGGGGAACTATATTAAAGAGTCACAGCATTAGGACGGTTGAGAAACACTGCTCTAGAGGTTTATAGAATGTATAGAATTTTCTGTATATATAGAAAGGGGACTTTTCAGAATGGTTTACAGGTGGCTGTGGTCCAGCCAGTTCAACAATGGCTGTCCACCAAGGGCAAGTCCAAAATTCCAGTTGTTCAATCCACAAGGTTGAATATATCTGCCCGTCTTCAGTGTGTGCTGGAATCCTGAAGAATAGCCTCTAATGCCAATGCATGAATGAACTTGCTAGGGAGATCAAGAGCCAGAGCAAGCAGGGAGAGAGAGCCTTCCTCCTCCTTCCGTGTCCTTTATCTAGACTGCCAGCAGAAGGTGTGGCCCAGATTAAAGATGTATCTGCCCACTTCAGAGATCCAGGTGAGAAATGGGTCTTTCTAAGCTAGTCAGTGGTGGTGCACACCTTTGATCTCAGCACTCAGGAGGCAGAGGCAGGTGGATCTCTGTGAGTTTGAGGCCAGCCTGGTCTACAGAGCTAGTTCTAGGACAGCCAGGGCTACACAGAGAAACTCTGTCTCAAAAAAGGGGGGGTAGGGCGGTCTTGACACTTAAAATGATTTAATTAAGAAAAAATCTGACACATGTGTGTCCATACATTTGTGTTTTAATGAATTCTAGTTGTAGTCAAGTTGACAGCCAAGAATAACCATCAGAGGCAAAACACCCATACACATAAACTAAAATCTTTTTTTAAAAGTTGCTCTTAAAAGCTTCTAATTGGAGACTAGTAAAAGAGCCTGCCTCTGCCTCCTGTGTGCTTGTAGCTGAAAGTTTTTTTCTGGTTCTGCCCAGCCTCACAGACTCCGCAGATGCTTATAAAGTAATCACTCAGAAGCTTATATTA